TCTCAGTGTGTTGAAGCAGAGAAGTACACCTAGTTCCTCCTCCATTCCAGAAGGATATATTATAAAAGTCAGAACGATAATAAAAGGGGGTGAACCCTATGAACCAAAAGTGACCTATAATATGAACTAGACAAAAAATAATGCTGGCTTGATTTCCTAATATCGCCTCGAATTATATTTGGCTCTAGAGCAAATAGATTGAACCTCAACAATGATGCCAACGTCGAACGAGGGTTCTAAGTAGCGGTCATTTTAAGTCAAAAAGTTATCAAATAAACCCGCATACATAAGGTATGAAAAATCACTACTAGCAGAAGACTAGCGTTTAATATATCGGTTCAAAAGGGGGGGGGGATTGGGAGCGTTTTCCATTCACAAATCTAATCTAATCCAATCTAAAGCGACTGGTGTGAATCTCAGTGCTCAGGCTTCCCTCAGTCATCGGGCTAGCCAACTTGGTGACTGGCGTGCGGGCATATACGTAGAGATATTTCCACCCTCGACAAACTGTCTATCGCAAGGATCGGCTAGTGTTTTAGGCACATTCACTAACGCACATAAAAGCCACTGTTTTGGTTAACTTGGCACAGAAAGATGGACGGTTAGGGGGCATTTCTTGAGAGAGAATTTTAAAGTGCGGATTTTCTTAGTTTTGCACTGCAGTACGGCGCCGATTGAACTACATGAAAAACAAGTAAATACTTACATAACCGTACTCTCTGGCGTCACTTTCCTCATCTTCAGGCAGAAATTCCGAATATGCACTATCGTCCATAGATTCTGAAAGACAAAAACATCCCTTTACATCATTTGTCAGGCGTCTGTGCTGATTGGAGACGGCCAGATGGAGCGGAGAAAGTGGTTAGTAAAGCATCCAATGCGCAAAACTGATAAAAGCTACCGAAGCAGTGAGCAAAGGCGAAAAGTTTCGCAAATGCCATTTTACAATTAGTTCCACTGATAGACAGCAAAGTAAATACATTCCACAGAGTTCATATGACCGCGGAGAGACAAAACAACGGCTAAACTGGGATATGATCAAGCTGAATCTTCCCCATCTCCACGCAGAGGATAATGCGGCGGATATCGCTTCCAGAGCGGCAGTTGGTTTCTGTAAGCCACCAGAAAAACGAGCAACCATCAACTGCGATGAATCAAGGTAATCCCACGAACCACGACAGTGAGATGGGATGAAACACTGATTGTGTTGACCGCATAGCTACCGTTATTACAACACTTGATGGTGCTTTTTCTAAATAAACTGTGCACATTAACATATTTTTCAACGGTTTAAACTATGGATGGCTGTCTAAGAGCAGTTACTTTGTGAACAATACCACTTTATACTTGCTGTGAGCATGCAAGATACGACAGCGTGGTGGTGGTGGTGCAGGGACGGTGCCTTGCGTGCGGATTAGTAGACTGGCGTTGCATCTACCACCTCTCCCTTTGCCCGCCTGTGCCCGTAGTTAAGGAAGAAGACAGGAGGCTGGATCAATCGACTGAGTCCCACTAGTCACGACAGAAGGTTGTACAGTATCGGTTAGAAAATACCCTTGTATTAATACACAAGTAGCACCTCAAATGGGACTGTTTTTCTCGGGGTCCAACTCAATCGCCTGCGCACACAGCCCTGACGATTCGTTCGCACACCACAAAACCGGTCCGCTCACGCAGTGCACACGATGACGCGCGCAGCTGCGGTCAAGCTCAGGTCTCTAACACACCAGCTGCATGAGTCACAAAGCCAATACAGTCGCGCCTTACTTGAGCCCACAATCTCATTGGTCCAATCTCGTACGCTTTTGCTTGGCTTAGGTACGCTGTACTAGGTATGTGAAAAGACTTATACTTTTGCGCTCTTCTTCTCGTGCTCTTCCTTGGGGACTCACACAAGGTGTAATTAGACGGCGATATCTCGGCGTTTGGCTTCATTTACAACAGTTTTCCACTTTTAAATTTGTTCGTCGTGTAGCATTACAGGTTAAGTTAGTTCTTTTTCATCGCCTTATTGTATTCGTGCGTTCACGCACACCTTGCGCGCGTTTGTAGGCGTTCCATTTGGGGATATTGATATTACTGTAGGTCCT